AGTAGTTTGTTGAGTAAATGGTTTAATGGTTTGAGGGATTTTGGATCTCATTGGGAGGTAGGATAGGGAGTAGTGGGGAGTGTTTGCTGTTTCATTAAACTAATATTACCCCCCCCCCCCCCTCCCCGCTCGACGCCTTTTTTGAGGAGAGGTGGGCGGAGTTGGGCTGTGTCGACTGGTCTCAGAATCAAATACTATAGAAACACCCATGATGGTGAGGGTGGTGGTGGGAGAAAGAGGAAGGGGGATCGTAGAGGGGGAGCATCCTGAGTCTCATGGTGGTGGGGGGTCGCATCGAGACCCCCCTAAAGGAGGGGGTCGCGAAATTTTTGAAAATGTGCGAACGTCACGGTTGACCCTGGTTCGAAGTTTTTTCTATTATAATCCAGTCTGCTTTTTCAACTGTTAATTGGTTACTATTCAGACCTTCAAAAGACAGATCACGCTGGCCAAGGGGCGGAGAAGAGTTCCACATGTCACTGATGGAAAAGGTCGAGATAACAGCAACCACGCAGCCGCTGCCACCCCTTTTCAGCCCAAATGGTATACAGGAAAGAGTTTCGGAAGCTGAAGGACTCTTTCGGTGCCTTATAAGGCTACTGGTAAGGCGCCACCTATCGTCTCATTGGGTAGGTCTCCTACCCAAATCCACTATGAACTTTCCCATTCGTCCCAATAGGATTTCACTTCCTCGAAACACGCGGAACGGGTAGAACCCAGATTACCTCACCCTGGAGAGTACGGAGTGTTAGGTGGGGCTGGGCCCAAATGGGCGAGGGACGCACTACTCACGCAGCAGCCCACCTCTCCGACCGTTAGTATAACGAACAGCGTGTTTAGTTGATTTGAGATATGAGCCTAAAAAGAGAAGACTAGCAAAAAGTGCACGGGCGAAAAACTTTTCTTGAGGTGTGTAGAACAGTGGGCGGGGCTTGGCCTAAATGGGCGGGAACTGCATCGAAACATCGACCATTATTTTGAGAACATTTCATATGCTAGAGGTTTGACAACGGGCTTTTAGACACCGAAAGACGACAAAGTCGACAAGTCAGTTTTCTTGGCGCATTATAATTTTATGGACCTGTTTTCTATCCTAAGCGCGCAAAACTTTGATTTTTTGGTTCAACCCACATGGACGTCTTCCGTCCGGGAAAAAACGAAAGCAGCACATCCCGACCGTCGCGTACGCATTCATATCGTGCGTGAAACGGTAACTTCCTTCCTTCCCCATAACAATGCATGATTCGCCGAAAAAAGGAGTGAGCGAGTGCGAATTTGATTTTACCGTACCTGATTGATTCTTAGAATTTTCCACATCGTGAAGTTGCCCTTTCAAGTTCGATTTGACAACTTAATTTCCGCCGAAACTTTGAAAAGTGCACAGCCGGGCCCTCTTGGCCC